GCCAGTCTGCACCACAATTTTGAGAGGAGCTTCCAGTTGTGGGGGAGAGAGCAGGGTGCACCAGGAGAAGACTCTGTGGCAAGGGGCAGGTTTTCCAGTCAGCTCCACAATTGATACTGTGTTTCCCCGAAAATAAGACAGGGTCTTATTTTCTTTTTACCCACAAAATATGGCTTGGGCCTTATTATCAGGGGAGGGCTTATTGTTTTGGGGTTGCCGGGCGGCTGCTCTCTTGCGAGCGGGCTCTTAAAGAGCCGGACACAGCCTCATGGGCGAAGGACTGTGTTGCACTGTCGCAGCGGCGCAACACAACAGCCATGAAGCGACCACGCTCACGAGCAGCCACCCGGCAAACCCCATTTCCAGCGCCTTTTCCCCACCGCCCGGCTCCCGCGGCTTGGTGCCTTCGAAATGCCAGTGAGTGGCGCTCTGCATGGCTGGAAAGGGGGGTTGCACGAATGGCTGTTCTGCTCCCGCTCACGCACCTCCCAGCCTCACGATGCCCTGGCCCAGCGCTCTCCGCAAAGCCAGAGCACCTTCACTGCCACCGCCATCCCAGCATGGCTTTTTCGGCAGCTTCCAAACTGAGTCTTCCAGCAGTGGCCGCTCTGGGCATACACTCTATGGTTTGGGGCCAATTGCCGGCAGAGCCTATCGCGGCTTAGCGATACCCCTAGGTCAGTGAATGGTGCTGTGGCCGGATGGAAAGTGGGTTTGCTGGGTGGCTGCTCGTGAGCGTGGTCGCTTCATGGTTGCTGTGTTGCACTGCTGCGACAGCGCAACACAGCCATTCGCCCATGAGGCCGTGCCTGGCTCTTTGGGAGCCCACTCACAAGAGAGAGCCGCCCAGCAACCCCCCTCTTCAGCTGGCACAGCGCTGCTCACCAACCTAGCGGTATCCCAAAGGCGCCAAGCAACGCGATCACTTTTGCCTCCCCTCCCCCGGTTCCCACAGCTTGGCACCTTCGGGACACCGCTAGGTTGGTGAGTGGTGCTCTGCCTGGCGGGAGGTGTGGGGTTGTCCAGGGGGCTTATTTGCGGGGGAGGGTTTATATTTTTGCCCACCAGAAAAATGTGGCATGGCCTTATTATCGGGACAAATCGTATTTTCGAGGAAACACATTCGGGCTTTTAGAGATAGAAGAAAAAGGACACCGTGCTAGGAGGAGACTCTATGGTGGGGCAACTGGACCTCCGGTCGGCTCCAGAATTGAACAGGGGCTTGGTTACCTTTGTGTGTAGCATTAGGGTCCCAAGGCTGAAGATGAAAGAAAGTAATCCAATCCACGGATAGCTGAACCAACAGAAGTTTATTGAGCATCCAGAATTAACAGAAGAATCAACAGCATGAAGCATCCCATGGATGGCAGAATCAACAGCAAACTTATTAATCATGAAACATCATTCTTATAGTGTTTGCAGCTTCTTTAGTTCTACCCACTTTACCTGTTATATCATTATTATTGGCTAACAAGTCTCCAAGGCACAATAATTGGTTAGTCCTTACATCATTGGTGTTCGTGAGAATGTGCATGTTGTTGCAGCTGAATGAATCAAGTGTTACCAAATG